CAGGTTGATTTCCCTTAACCTCTCCTCGTAGGACATACCTCTTAGCTCTGGGACTAGTCTTGTTGCAAACCTTTGCACTTTCTCTAGTTTCTTCACGTGCTTGGCTAGGTGTGGGTTCCAAACTGGTGCCGCATACTCCAATATGGGCCTAACATACACGGTGTACAGGGTCCTGAATGATTCCTTATTAAGATGTCGGAATGCTGTTCTGAGGTTTGCTAGGCGCCCATATGCTGCAGCAGTTATTTGGTTGATGTGCGCTTCAGGAGATGTGCCTGGTGTTATACTCACCCCAAGATCTTTTTTCTTGAGTGAGGTTTGTAGTCTCTGACCCCCTAGACTGTACTCCGTCTGCGGCCTTCTTTGCCCTTCCCCAATCTTCATGACTTTGCACTTGGTGGGATTGAACTCCAGGAGCCAATTGCTGGACCAGGTCTGCAGCCTGTCCAGATCCCTTTGTAGTTCTGCCTGGTCTTCGATCGAGTGAATTCTTCTCATCAACTTCACGTCATCTGCAAACAGGGACACCTCAGAGTCTATTCCTTCCGTCATGTCGTTCACAAATACCAGAAACAGCACTGGTCCTAGGACTGACCCCTGCGGGACCCCGCTGGTCACAGGTGCCCACTCTGACACCTCGCCACGTACCATGACTCGCTGCTGTCTTCCTGACAAGTATTCCCTGATCCATTGTAGTGCCTTCCCTGTTATCCCTGCTTGGTCCTCCAGTTTTTGCACCAATCTCTTGTGTGGAACTGTGTCAAACGCCTACTTGCAGTCCAAGAAAATGCAATCCACCCACCCCTCTCTCTCTTGTCTTACTGCTGTCACCATGTCATAGAACTCCAGTAGGTGTGTGTGTGTGTGTGTGTGTGTTTGTGTGTGTGTGTGTGTGCGCGCGCGCGCGTGTGTGTGTGTGTGTGTGTGTGTGTGTGTGTGTGTGTGTGTGTGTGTTGTGTATGTGTGTGTGTGTGTATGTGTGTGTGTGTGTGTGTGTGTGTGTGTATGTGTGTGTGTGTGAGTGTGTTGTGTATGTGTGTGCGTACTCACCTAGTTTTACTCACCTAGTTGAGGTTGCAGGGGTCGAGTCCAAGCTCTTGGCCCCGCCTCTTCACTGGCCGCTACTAAGTCACGCTCCCTGAACCATGAGCTTTATCATACCTCTGTTTAAAGCTATATATGGATACTGCCTCCACTACATCGCTTCCCAAACTATATTCCACTTCCTGACTACTCTGTGGCTGAAGAAATACTTCCTAACATCTCTGTGATTCATCTGTGTCTTCAGCTTCCAACTGTGACCCCGTGTTGTTGTGTCCAGTCTCTGGAACTTCCTGTCTTTGTCCACCTTGTCAATTCCTCTCAGTATTTTGTAAGTCGTTATCATGTCCCCCCTATTTCTCCTGTCCTCCAGTGTCGTCAGGTTGATTTCCCTTAACCTCTCCTCGTAGGACATACCTCTTAGCTCTGGGACTAGTCTTGTTGCAAACCTTTGCACTTTCTCTAGTTTCTTTACGTGCTTGGCTAGGTGTGGGTTCCAAACTGGTGCCGCATACTCCAATATGGGCGTAACGTATACGGTGCACAGGGTCCTGAACGATTCCTTATTAAGATGTCGGAATGCTGTTCTGAAGTTTGCCAGGCGCCCATATGCTGCAGCAGTTATTTGGTTGATGTGCGCTTCAGGATATGTGCCACGTGTTATACTCACCCCAAGATCTTTTTTCTTGAGTAAGGTTTGTAGTCTCTGGCCCCCTAGACTGAACTCCATCTGCGGTCTTCTTTGCCCTTCCCCAATCTTCATGACTTTGCACTTGGTGGGATTGAACTCCAGGAGCCAATTGTTGGACAAGGTCTGCAGCCTGTCCAGATCCCTTTGTAGTTCTGCCTGGTCTTCGATCGAATGAATTCTTCTCATCAACTTCACGTCATCTGCAAACAGGGGCACCTCAGAGTTTATTCCTTCCGTCATGTTGTTCACAAATACTAGAAACAGCACTGGTCCTAGGACTGACCCCTATGGGACCCCGCTGGTCACAGGTGCCCACTCTGACACCTCGCCACATACCATGACTCGCTGCTGTCTTCCTGACAAGTATTCCCTCATCCATTGTAGTGCCTTCCCTGTTATCCTTGCTTGGTCCTCCAGTTTTTGCACCAATCTCTTGTGTGGAACTGTGTCAAACGCCTTCTTGCAGTCCAGGAATATGCAGTCCACCCACCCCTCTCTCTCTTGTCTTACTGCTGTCACCTTGTCATAGAACTCCATTAGGTTTGTGACACTGGATTTCCCGTCCCTGAAACCATGTTGGCTGCTGTTGATGAGATCATTCCTTTCTAGGTGTTCCACCACTCTTCTCCTGACAATCTTCTCCATGACTTTGCATACTATACATGTCAGTGACACTGGTCTGTAGTTTAGTGCTTCATGTCTGTCTCCTTTTTTAAAGATTGGGACTACATTTGCTGTCTTCCATGCCTCAGGTAATCTCCTTGTTTCGATAGATGTATAGAATATTGTTGTTAGGGGTACACATAGTGCCTCTGCTCCCTCTCTCAGAACCCATGGAGAGATGTTATCTGGCCCCATTACCTTTGAGGTATCTAGCTCGCTCAGAAGCCTCTTCACTTCTTCCTCGGTTGTGTGTACTGTGCCCAGCGCCTGGTGGTGTGCCCCACCTCTCCGTCTTTCTGGAGCCCCTTCTGTCTCCTCTGTTAACACTTCTTTGAATCTATTGTTGAGTTCCTCACATACTTCACGGCCATTTCTTGTTGTCTCTCCTCCTTCCTTCCTTAGCCTGATTACCTGGTCCTTGACTGTTGTTTTCCTCCTGATGTGGCTGTATAACAGCTTCGGGTCAGATTTGGCTTTCGCTGCTATGTCGTTTTCATATTGTCGTTGGGCCTCCCTTCTTATCTATGCATATTCGTTTCTGGCTCTACGACTGCTCTCCTTATTCTCCTGGGTCCTTTGCCTTCTATATTTCTTCCATTCCCTAGCAGACCTGGTTTTTGCCTCCTTGCACCTTTGGGTGAAAAATGGGTTCATCCTGGCATTTTCAGTATTCCTGTTTCCCTTGGGTACAAACCTCTCCTCAGCCTCCTTGCACATTGTTGCTACATATTCCATCATCTCATTAACTGGTCCCTGCCAGTTCTCTGTCCCACTGAACCTCGTTCAGGAAGTTCCTCATTCCCGTGTTGTCCCATTTCCTGTAGTTTGGTTTCATTTGTCCTGGCCTTCCTGCTTCCCCCTCCACTTGTAGCTCTACTGTGTATTCGAAGCTCAAAACCACTTGATCGCTGGCCCAAGGTGTCTTTCATATGTGATGTCCTCAATATGTGCACTATTCAAGGTGAATACTAAGTCCAGTCTTGCTGGTTCATCCTCTCCTCTCTCTCTTGTAGTGTCCCTTACGTGTTGGTACATGAAGTTTTCCAGTACCACCTCCATCATCTTAGCCCTCCATGTATCTTGGCCCCCATGTGGGTCCAAGTTCTCCCAATCGATCTCCTTGTGGTTAAAGTCGCCCATGATCAGGAGCTTTGCCCTGCATGCATGAGCTCTTCTGGTCACTGCAGCCAGTGTGTCAACCATCGCTCTATTGCTCTCGTCATACTCTTGCCCTGGCCTCCTGCTGTTCTGTGGTGGGTTATACATCACTGCAATTACCACCTTGGGACCTCCAGAGTGAAGCGTTCCCGCTATGTAATCACTTTCTTCTCCGCTGTCTCCTCTCTCCAGCTCATCAAAATTCCACCGGTGTTTGATCAGCAGTGTCACTCCTCCACCCCTCCTGTTCCCTCTGTCTTTCCTCAGGATCTGGTATCCCGTTGGAAAGATGGCATCTGTTATCATACCTGTAAGATTTGTTTCTGTGAGTGCTATGATGTCCGGTGATGCCTCTTTGACTCTTTTGTGCCACTCTTCCCACTTGTTTGTTATTCCATCAGCATTTGTGTACCATACCTTCAGTTTCCTTTCCAACACTGTGGTTTGGGGAGCCTGTGGGGGTGGGAGACCTGGTAGCATACTGTGGGATTCTGTGATTGGGGGTTGGGTGGAAGCTGTGGGTATGGATTGTAGTGTGTGTTGGGATGGTTTGATAGGTTGTGGGGTTCTGAAGATAGTTCTGTGTGTGCTCGCCCTCGCTGCTCTGTTCTGCTCTGACTGACCTCTGCCAGTTCCATCCTTGTCTCCCTTGCTAGCTCCTTTCGCTTTTTTGTCCTCTCCCTCAGCTGCTGTCGCTCTGTTTGTGTTCTGTCTCTGTCTAGGAACACCTTCTTGTACTCTTCCGAGTTTTTCAACTATGGTTTCTCTTGGAGGATCCTGTTCCGCACTGTTTCTGTCCTGAGAATCAGATTGGTCGGTCGGTTTCTCCCCTTCAAGTACCCCCCTATTCTCTGAAAATTTACAATCTCGTCCATGTCTTCTCCCCCTATTTCTGTGATGATTTTCTTAATCTTTTTTCTTTCTTCCTGCCGTCTTTCAGTGTGTGTCCTTTCCTCTCTCTTCCGAAGTCCATGGATAAACACTGATTCTGCCCTTTCCTCCTCCTATTGCCTCTCCCTCTGTGGCTCTGGTTCCTGTCTGTATGTGTGTATGTGTGTGTGTGTGTGTGTGTGTGTGTGTGTGTGTGTGTGTGTGTGTGTGTGTGTGTGTGTGTGTGTGTGTGTGTGCGTGTGTGTGTGTGTGTGTGCATGTGTGTGTATGTGTGTGTGTATGTGTTGTGTATGTGTGTGTGTGTGTGTGTGTGTGTGTGTGTGTGTGTGTGTGTGTGTGTGTGTGTGTGTGTGTGTGTGTGTGTGTGTGTGTGTGTGCGTGTGTGTGTTTGTGTGTGTGTGTGTTGTGTTGTGTATGTGGAAATATATTCATTTATATCCTAAGTGAACAAAACTAATTATTCCTTTGTCATAAATTATTCTTCATAAATGAAATTGGATGAGCCAGGAAATAATATAAGGTTATGAAGTCTCTCTAATTATTACTGCCCCAGCAGGTTCTTGCTGGTGGGGGTGACGAAGGAGGAGCTTCAGCAGCTGGTGGTGACAGTGAAGGGCAGGAAGACTCAGCACATTGTAGGAGTCATTAAGGTAACATTAAATTGTTTTCTCTGAGAGAAAGTGACGAATATTAATGATTTTTTCCTTAATTATTTCTTGAGAATACAATCATTTTCTTCTGGTTGAACTACCATTAAAGTTATTATGAATTTAGCAGTTAAAAACAACTGTAAATGAATAAACAGATGGGTGGCGAGGGTCTTGAACCGAGGTCCGTAAAATGACAGTCTGACGCTATACCTTCTAGTCTAACCCAGGCCTCAAATAAGAAGTAATCAGAATACTGTATTACATCCCGTCTGAACTCCTCCCCTCCGCTCAGGAGCTTTAATAATAAACCTCTGTTGGTGAGTAAACAAAAGGGTGGATGAAGGACTCCAATCGTGGTTCGTAAACTGACAGTCCGACTCTCTTCCATTTAGGCTAACCCAGATCTCTAATAGGATATAAAGTAGTGTCTCAATTGCTTCCAGTTTGACTACTCTTCAAGCAAGTCCTCCAGCCAACTGGAACTGCATAAACCAGCACAACCATAAACGTATACTATGTGACGGCACTACCACTCCATTTCTCTTGTCTGCCTAAGCTCAAAAAGACAATATAAAAGGCTGAGGATGACAACAAGCAAGCGGTCATTGGTAAAGATAACTGCAGCGCCTCAGTAGTGAACCACTTGCCCAATTCTACGTAGCTCAAGCGGCACTATTGCCACCATTGTTGCCGCGTGTTTCCTGCCTCTCCCTGCGAGAATGTTACACAAGCAGCCTGGGCCAACACCAAATTCGATAAGTAGTAGCCACCACCATGCGCCTTTGCTGTGGGGGACAGTTTGGTATTAATCCCTAGCAACCTTTTCGAATTCAGGATGCTAGCCAGGTTGCTGTCCGAACAATCGGATTAGGACAGAAATCCTGTGCTGGGAATATGAACTGAAGGAAAGTCCCTTTATGGCAGCGCCAGTGATGTAAATATATCGTAATCCCCGACCGAAGATTTCCACCAAGAGGAAACAAGCTACAACAAGAAACGTGAATTCGATCAGGACACTTGGCTCCAATGGGGTCATTTCAGAATATTAAGATAATAATGGAAATCACCTTCAGGCATATTAACGTCAGGCATTTTTTCAATAACAGATATCCCCTGGAAATTGAGCTCTTTAACCACATGACAGTCATTATCTTCCTAAATGAGACCTCCTCGCAGAATTGACGAGCAGATTGAACTACAAGGATAATCATTCCTTGAGAAATCTATGGGATCTTACAGTAGAGCTGCTATACTAATCAAATAGGTCCATATATTCTGCAAAATCCAAATTGATGAAGACAGCGCCACTGAAGTGGAGCTAACATTCTCGTATGGGTCAAAAATATCAAGAACAATGTACTTTCCATCACTTTTGCCATATAAAGTTTATTCCTTCCATCGCCTACCCAGCAGGAACATCCTTACTGCCCCCGTAGGAGACTTTATGTCTACTACCCTGGTATATTCAGCTGAGGCATGGCAGCTTCCTCCAGGCGTATATTAACTGCTGCTGCCAGTGTTTAACCTAGATTGGGAAAGGGGTTGTTTTTAAGTGTACTGAGTTAAAAATCTTACAGCTACACGATGGATATTAAAGCTTCATGTTATTTGAAAACCGCAAGAAAAGATTACTTTAACAGTTGTAATAAGGATTGAAATAATCTCCCATCTTGTACTTATTAAGAGATAAACATACATACAGATGGGGTCCACCTCTGGTGTAAATTGTGGGACCCATAGCCTCGGAGAAGTGCATAAAAAGACTTCAAAGAAGAATATTTGGATTTCTTCCTGAAGCCGTTTGAATAATCCACTTCCCCTACCACCCCATCTTTTCATTCTTTTTTACCACCAATAGCCATATTTTATTACAATATATATATATATATATATATATATATATATATATATATATATATATATATATATATATATATGAATGTGTGTGTGTGTGTGTGTGTGTGTGTGTGTGTGTGTGTGTGTGTGTGTGTGTGTGTGTGTGTGTGTGTGTGTGTGTGTGTGTGTGTGTGTATGTGTGTGTGTGTATGTGTGTGTGTGTGTGTGGTGTATGTCGTGCTGAATATGTAAAACTGGTCAATTAGCAAGAACTCATTTAAAATTAAGTCTTTTCTGAAATTTTCTCTTATATGTTTAAAAATATATTTTTTTCATTAATGTTAATGTAAAAAATGTTAATTTTGCACCAAAAGAATTTTAGAAAACTTACCTAACCTTATTATAACAAGATCAATTTATTTTAGCCTTACCCAACTAAATATATTTTAAATACGTTAACAAAAATTTAGTACTAAACAAACACAATCAAATATATTTTTTTTTGTTAGGTTCAGAATGATTTTGGCGAAATTATTGCATACACAAATTTTCGCTTGTCCTATATGACAAGATGAGCGTTGCTATTTAAGCCAAGATCGCAAGTTCTGCCTATTCGGCACGACATATATATATATATATATGTACATATATACAGTAGACCGTTATTTAGCACGGTAGTTACGTTCGTGAAAATGCCGTGTTAGATAAAATCATGCTATATGAACTGAAGAACTTATGGGAAAAATAGGGTTACATTCCTGGGAGCCTCCAAAAAGCCAAACAACTTTTTTTTAGACCAAGAGATCTTGTCGTGATATATTATTGCTTAAGACTACAAATGCAATAGAAATAATAGTATTTCTAACCTTAAATTGTGTTAATGGTGTGTGTGGATGATTGTGGAGAGAGTGGATATGGATGGTGTGGCCCTTCTGGGCTGAGGTGGATAGTTGTTCGTTGTTGATAGAAGTGGATGGTAGAGAGAGGTTCTGGTGCTGATAGTTGTATTGGAATGTGCATAAATTCTGTAATGGTTCTCTGGGCTGTTTTACCTTACAATACATTATATGGTAAGGCATCATCAGCTGGTCTAGATCCCATTTCAAAGCACTGCTTCTAGATTTGCCAGGGTCCTCTTCAGTGAAAAAGTCTGCAACTTTACCAATAATATGGAACTGCTCACGTAACTGCTGCAATGTTAACTGTTTTTCTTAAGGTTTTTCTTCATCTTCTGTTATGTCCCTCCCTTGTATCTGTGCATCGAGCTCTGCTAACATTTCCTCTAGACTCCTGCCTTCATCATCACCATCTTCTAAGAGCTCATTCACATCAACTTCTTTCATATCTTCAAAACCATCACCTGGTAATCTCCTTGCCAGCTGAACAATTTCCTGAACCTGACTCACAAGCAAGGGGATACCAGTGAAACAATAACCACAGAAGGCCATAACTTTCCCCAGCCTTCATTTAATGTTGATTGAGGCGCTTCATTTCATGCACTTCTAGCAGAGCTGATAGCATCTGTAATGTTAAATTTATTCCAGAAGGTTGGTACTGCTAAGTCGGAGTCAGAGTCCATTGATGCAACTAGTTTTTTCATAACTTTTTTTGTGTAGTTACACTTGAATGACTTAATAACTCCCCGATCCAGTAGTTGTATTAAAGATGTTGTATTTGGAGTTAAAAATACAACTTTTACATGTGAGGGTCACATCCAGCAAAGCTTGTGGATGAGTACAGGAATTATCAAGAATGAAGAGAGTCTTTGAATGCAAGGTTCTTGCTGTGCAGGTAGAACTTGACTTCAGGAATAAAGTGATGCTTAAACCAGTCAATAAATATTTCCTCTGTTATCCATGCTGACTGGTTTGACCTCCAAATTACTGGTAAAGTGTTTTTATCTACATCTTTCAAAGCACGAGGATTCTTAGAGCGGTAAATAACCATGGGCTTACACTTGAAATCACCTGATGCATTACTGCAAAGGAGCAAGGTGAAGCGGTCCTTTGCAGCCTTGAAGCCTGTTGCACTTTTCTCTTGCTGACTGATATAATTTCGTGTTGGAATCTTTTCCAAAAAGCACTTGTCCCGTCAGGATTAAACACTTGATGTGGCTCATAGCCACCCTCAGAAATAATTTCCTGCAATCAGCAGGAAAATTACTTGCTGCTGTATGATCAGCTGAAGCACTTTCACCAGAAAACTTAATATTATGTAACTTATTATGCAACTTAAAGTTGTAGAACCAGCCTGTGCTAAACACGCACTGCTTTAAACAACTCTAAGGCCTTTTCCCTAATTAAGAGGAAATTAAGTGGTGCACCTTTCTTTGTATTTTGTTCAATTCACTCAAGCAACAAGTTTTCTGTTTTATTTACTTGTTGGGACCTACGTGTCATTCTTTTCATAAGATGACATCTTGGGTTATTCATTACACAAGCTCGTATATTCGCCTCATTGTTTTAATTGTATAAACTGCAGCCTCATTAAGGCCATTGGCCCTTACTATATCCACCACACTTGATTCACTCTTAAGCTTGTCTACTATCTCAATTTTCTTCCCAATTCCCAGACTTGAACGCTCAAGCCTTTTCTTATCACTTTCAGCAACACTTGTATGTTTACTGGGTGCCATTATTGCTTGGCAGATTTAACAAATTGCAATGAAATTAAGAAAATATGTATGTATATAAACACAGCTAGGTTCCCGAGTACCTCCGTTCTGCACACGTATGAACCAAACTGGAGGCTGGGAGCGTGGTGGGGGTGGGTGTAGATGGTGGGGGGATGACAGAAGGCCTTCCCGATTGACTCAATGGTATAACCCACCGCAGGCGATCAGCGAACGCGCGCTCAAAATTTTTTCCCCTTCCGTGAATCATGTTAAATTGATCATACGACGTGCTACATAAAAATGTGTCACAATTCTTCAATCGTGCTATACTCAAATCGTGCCAAATAAACTCGTGCTAAATAACGGTCTATTATATATATATATATATATATATATATATATATATATATATATATATATATATATATATATATATATATATATATATATATATATATATATATATATATACATTATGTATATATATATATATATATATATATATATATATATATATATATATATATATATATATATATATATATTATAT